TGCAGGCTGAGGAAGAGAAGAGGGAGACTGAGGGATGGGAGAACTGGGGTGTGGAGAGGGAAAACATGCAGACTGAGGAAGAGAGGGGGGAGACTAAGGGATGGGAGAACTGGGGTGTGGAGAGGGAAAACATGCAGACTGAGGAAGGGGGGGAGACTGAGGGATGGGAGAACTGGGGTGTGGAGAGGGAAAACAGGTGCAGACTGAGGAAGAGAGGGGGGAGACTGAGGGATGGGAGAACTGGGGTGTGGAGAGGGAAAACAGGTGCAGACTGAGGAAAAGTGGAGGGAGACTGAGGGAGGGCAGGATGGGCAGTGGACTCCCCGTCTTTTGGCCTCACCTGCAGGAAGGATCGTCCATCGGACACGTTGAAGGGATCTAGAAGCTGCTCCAGCCATCCCACTTTTGGGAGGGCCCCAGCACCCAGCCCTAGGCCCAGGCCCAGGGCAGAGCTCTCCTGAAACTGCTGAATGTGCTCACCCAGGCGCCTGAGAAGGGAGGCTGTGGGACATGGAGGGGAAGAAGTCAGCCTGGTGTCCTTAGGATGCCCTGCTGACCCTCAGTCTCCTCTTACCTGGAGCCGAGGGTCCCCAGAGGGAAACCAGGAGCAGAGAGCCCAGCCACGGGACACACCAGATGGCCATGCTGTTCAGGACTCTGTTCTCCCCCAGGATGACCTTTATGTCATCCTTGGTGGCCGGGCTTTAAATTCATCATTTTCAGCAGAGGCTCAGGTTTCTTTCCAGATGCCTTTCCTGGCAGGTCAAGCGTCTGTAGGAATTGCTAAAGCGGGGCAGGGACGCCAGAGTCGGTGCAGAGGCTGCTGACGGCACTGGAAATCCATTTCTTCTCTCTGCTGAGTCTGTTCCTCCCTCAGCTCTCAGTAGCCCTCCCCATCTCCTCCCCTCTCCACCCTTCAGTCTACTCCTCTTCACTCAGACTCCCCTTTGCATGCCTGACTGTCCTTCAGCCTCTGTCTCTCCCACCTCTGTACCTCTCTGGAACCCCAGTTGCCCACTCAGTCTGTCTTTTCTGCCCCTCCACATGTCTTAATTACTCAGCAGTTCCCACACCCAGCCTCTCCCTGTGTTGTTAGCCCCGTCTCTGTTAAAGTCTTCCTCTCCATACTCCAGTCTCTGTCCCTCAATCTCACTGTGTCTATTCACCGGCCCCTCACTTTCTGCTCCTTGGCACTGCCCTGAGCCCCTCTGACCCACGATCTCACCTCTCCATAGACTCCTTACAGTTCTTTGAACCTACCAGGCTTGCTCCTGCCCTGTGGACTGTGATTTCTCCAGAAATGCACATTGCTTGCTTCTTCACTTCAGTCAGATCTGCATGCAAAGGTCATTCCCTGGGAGTTGTTAATAGAGTCAGATGCTCTGAAGGAGGCTGGAGAGGCAGCCATACAAGTATCTGGGAACTTTTCTCTCCCAAAATTCAGAAAGGTCTTCCATGGTCATCTTTTTAAAAATTGTCAAACCTAAGGTCCTCGTCTATTCCTTTCAAACTTTATTCCTAATTCTTTTTCATAGGACTTATGACAGTGAGAAATATTGTACATTTAAAAAATTATTCCCATAAATTTAAAAAATATATACAGAATCTCATGACTTCTCACCACCTTCAGTGCTGACACTGCTGAGCCACCATCACCTCTGACTTGGGCTATCATAGAAGCTTCTTAGCTGGTCTCCCTGTATCTGCCTTATGACTTATTCCACATTCAGCAGATGGAGAGATCATATTAAATATTAGCTCAGTCATTCACAATCATTCACTCTCTGGTTCAGAACACTTCTCTGGTACCCCATCTTACTGAAAGTAAAATCTAGCAATTAAAACAATTAAGACAATTGTTTTAATCGCTAGTGCTTCCCAGTCATACGGGCAAAAACGTTTGTCACAAGCCACAGTCTGTAATAATGCATGAACAAAGGAGAATTTGGTCTATACTGGCCAATAGCTTCCTTAACGATTTTTTAGTAATTTGATAGGAAAGGGTCTTTCCAACCTTGTCAGATGCCAAACCAGCCACAAGGGTACAACAATTGTCCCCCGCCACCTCAGTAAGCGCAGAGTAGATTTATGTGGTACTACAGCTATTTCTTTGCTACCTGGAGAGCCACCTATAAAAGTGCCAACAGGGGTGCAAGGGCCTTTGGGGTTAATTTTGGGAAGATCAAGTTTAAATCTAAAAGGTGTTTAGAGTCATACTGGAGTTGTTGATTCTTATTACAAAGGAGAAATCCACTTGCTTGTTAGCTGCACCACACCTTGAAGTGCTAACCCAGGAGACAGAATAGCCCAGCGTCTGCTTTTACCATATATTAAACCGAAAGACAGTTCAGTGGAAAGAACGGGAGGATTTGGAAGCACAAATTCAGCAAGAAAGGCTGTTTATTGGCTAAATCAAGTATCTGGAAATAGGCCCATTTGTACTGTAACTATTCAGGGAAGACAATTTGAAGGTTTAGTAGACGCTGGAGCTAATGTTTCAATAATTGCCTTAAATCAGTGGCCCAAATAATGGCCAAAAGGAAAGGCCCCTGTGGGACTTGCAGGAGTTCACACGGCCTCAGAGTCTATCGGAGCTCGAGTCCTTCCATGCGAGGAACTGGACAAGCAAGAGGGAACCACTCAACCGCGCGTTACCCCTATTCCCGTAAGTCAATGGGAAGGAGACCTGTTACAGCAACGGGGCGCTGACATTTCTATTCCAGCTCCAAACTACAGTCCCAAATGTAAGAAAGTAATGATCAACATGGGATATAAACCCCGAAAGGGATTGGGAGAAAGGGAGGGTGGCCTTCTTGAGCCGATTCAAGCATCTGAGACATTTCACAGAAAACGCTTGGCTGTCATTTTTAGGGGCGGCCACTGCTGAGCCTCCCCAGACCATTCCGTTAAAACGGACAGCTCAGCGTCCGGTTGGGGTGGAGCAGTGGCTGCCTACAAAAGAAAAATGGGAGGCTTTGCAAGTATTGGTTAAGGCACAGTTAGAGAAAAGACACTGAACAAGCTTTTTCACCGTGAACTCTCCAGTATTTGTGATAAAGGAAAAATCCGGCAGATGGCGCAGGTTAGCCGACCTGAGAGCTGTCAAGGCCGTAACTGAACCTACCCCTCTACCAGGCCTCCTGTCTCCAACCGTGGTACCAAAGATTGGCCATTAATTACTACAAATTTAAAAGACTGCCTTTTCACCGTTCCACTGGCCGCTAAGAACTGTAAAAAATTTGCATTTACGGTTCCTGCTATAAATAACAAGGAGCCTGCTGCTAAATATTAATGGAAAGTTCTGCCTCAAGGAACGTTAAGAGTCCCACTATTTGTCAGACATTTGTGGGAAGGGCTATTCAACCCGTCAGGAAAAAATTCCCGGAATGCTGTATTACCTGCTAAGTGGATGATATATCGTGTGCTGCAGAAGCCCGAGGAAGACTTCTTCAGTGCTGCTCTTTTCTACAAAAGGCTGCGGTTGGCGCTGGTCTTATCATAGAGCCTAATAAAGTTCAAACGGCCACTCCCTTTCACTGTCTTAGAATGCAGGTGAAAAGTAAAAGCATTAAATCTTAAAACATCCAAATGAGAAAGCACCCTTTAAAAACTTTAAATAATTTCCAAAAAATTACTGGGAGATATTCCAACTTAACGCTATGTCTAATGTATTCTCCATTCTCAGAGGAGACCCTTTCACAGTAAAAGAAAATTGGCTCCTGCTGCCGCGAAAAAAACAATTCAACGGCTCAGGTTTCTGGGATAGACTCTAAATTGCCTTTACAGTTTCTTGTGTTTGGTCCTCTCACTCACCTACAGGGGTTATTGCTCAGGATAAGGATTTAGTTGAATAGTCCTTCTTACCTCACAATAGTGTTAAAACACTCACTGTGTACTTAGATCAAATTGCTTTGTGAATTAAACAGGCTAAAACTAGAATTCTTAAATTACGTGAGTTTAATCCTAGCAAAATAATTGTTCCAATGAACAAAACTCAAACAGGCTTTTGTGAATTTGTTAAGTGAGCAAATTAATCTAGCAGAGTTTATTGGGAGCTTAAACAATCCTTACCTCAGACAAAAAATTTTCAATTTCCAAAATTAACTCCTTAGGCCCTTCCAAAAATTAGTCCTCTGCCTCCATCAAAGGAGCCATTACTATTTTTACTAATGAATAATAATGGCAAAGCTGCTTATGTTGGGCCTTGTAAAAAAATTATTCCAACTAATTTCCAGTGTGCACAAAGAGTTGAATTACAAGCTATTGTAGCAGTGTTAACAGATGTTAACCAGCCTATTGTTTCTGACTCAGCATATGTGGTACAAGCCACTCAGCACATTGAAACTGCTTTAACGAAGTTCCTTCCTGATGAGCTACTTAGCCAGCTCTTTCAGTCTTTACAAACTGCAGTGCAGACTTGAAAATTCCCCTTTTTACATTACTCACAGCTGTAAGAGGACCTGGGAATATATAGTAATCGCCCAGGTCCTCCTACAGCTGTTAATAATCAAGCGGACCTTCTGATTTCTGCTGTTTTTACAGAAGGCCACAACTTTCACTCTTTGACCCATATCAATGCAGCAGGATTAAAAAATAAATTCCAAATTACTTGAAAACAAGCAAAAAACGTTGTACAACACTGTCCACAGTGTCAGGTTTTACATCTGCCCCATCAAGGCGCGGGAGTAAACCCACGAGGCCTAAGTCCTAACGCTGTATGGCAAATGGATGTAACACATGTTCCATCTTTTGGCAAACTTGCTTATGTACATGCTACTGTTAGTACCTTTTCTCATTTCATTTGGGCTACATGCCAAACAGGAAAAAGCACAGCTCATGTTAAAAGACATCTATTACCCTGCTTTGCTGTTGTGCCCATTCCTCAAAAAATTAAAACTGACAGTGGCCCAGGCTACTTATCACAATAGAAAATTACTCGTACTACTAGAATTCCTCACAACTCACAAGGCCAAGCTGTTATCGAAAACACTAATAGAACATTAAAAACTTGGTTATTAAAACACAAGCAAGGGAAAAACAGAGAATACTCCACCCCCCGCTCCATGCAATTACAATTAGCCCTTACAACTTTAAATTTTTTAAACATTTCCAAGGATCAGGTCTCAATAGCTGCAAAACAACACTTAACTGGACAAAAAATAAACTTCCAGGAAGAAATGTTGGTCTGGTGGAAGAACACAAGAGCAAATACTGGGGAAAAAGGAAGGGTAATTACATAGGGGAGAGAATTTTCTTATATTTCCACAGAAGAAAATCAGCTTTCTCTCGAATACCCACCAGACAGCTTAAGCTCTATAATGAACCAAAACCCAAAAAAGAAGAAAAGGAGAGGCTTCTGGGACACTTACTAGCCCCCAACAAGCCTGATAGCCAAAATAAACATTTCCAGGAAGAAGGTAAAAACCCAAAACTCCTCAAGCGAAACCACCAACCTGCAAACAGATCAAGAGGCTGACGCAGCTTGCTGAAAACAACTTAAAGGCATAGCAGCTACCTCCAACTCCTGGTAACTTAGTCCTAGCAGCAATGATGGTAGTCACCTTGGCGGTGAGTCTCATTGTAGCTAGGGCTGAGAGAAATCACACTTACTGGGCTTATGTTCCTTTCCCGCCCTTAATTAGAC